TATCGTTTTTGGAAGACAAATTCTTCGTCTCCCTCCGGCGAATCGAGCGAGTCACCGAGAAGCTCACTGAGGAGAGAAGTGAAATCGGGAAGAATTTTTGGGTCTGAAACAGGTGTCAACACCGAGTTGACCGGAGAGTAGTGGTGGTGGTGGTCATGGAAGAGGAAGAGCCAATGGGTGAGTATCGCGGCGAGTCTGAGCCTGACCAGAGGAAATCTGGAACTCCGAGGCTTTACATTAAAGAGCTTGTGATGAAGAACTTCAAATCATACGCCGGTGAACAACGCGTCGGACCTTTCCACAAGGTTAGGGTTTTCATTTTCAAAAGTTGCGGCAAATTGTGCTTTTAGGTTATGAGTAGAGACGAACTGGAAGCTGCTTAGTCTGGGTTTTATCGGGGTTTCTTCAATTTGAGCCTAGATTCCTTGTCAATTACACTCTAGGTTCCGAACAGAATTTTGGGTATTTTTCAATTTTCAGGAATTTCATTTGAATTGGAAAATTAGATTTAATGAATTCTTATTTTTCTCAAATTCAGAGTTTTTCTGCGGTGGTTGGACCAAATGGGAGTGGAAAGAGCAATGTGATAGATGCAATGCTGTTTGTATTTGGGAAACGAGCTAAGCAGGTAACTACTCTTGCAATTTCTCTTAGTTACGGTCTGATACATGACCTCTGTCTGACTAATCTCTTTGGTATCAGATGCGGCTCAACAAAGTATCAGAACTAATTCACAACTCAACCAATCACCAGAACTTGGATAACGCTGGAGTTTCTGTACAGTTTGAAGAGATTATCGATTTGGTAAAGTTGAAGACCTTAATATGATCTTATTACTTGGTTGTCAAAACTTTTTACTTAAGGCTGCATGATGAGTATGAAGGCAAACTTTTGGTTTTATTTTCAGTCCTGAACATTGTTTGAATAATATCTTGCATTTCTGTTTAATTTAGCTCTTTAGCAAAGATTTTCAAGCTATGGCTTTTCCTGTCTCTGTAATTTTCATCGACTTTGGAATAGCTTTCTTGTAATGTCAATTGTTATTCTGCTGAACTAACGCAGGAAGATGGCTCGTATGAAACTGTTCCTGGAAGTGATTTCATGATTACTCGGGTTGCATTCCGAGATAATTCTTCCAAGTATTATATCAATGAAAGGTCTAGCAATTTCACTGAAGTTACCAAAAAATTGAAGGGGAAAGGAGTAGATCTTGACAACAACCGTTTCTTGATTCTTCAGGTTCTCACTTTAGAGAAACTGCCTACATTTACATGGTCCCCTACTAATATTTGTTCCTTGAATGTTTACAGGGGGAGGTAGAACAGATATCACTCATGAAACCGAAAGCACAAGGTCCCCATGATGAAGGGTTTCTTGAATATCTCGAGGATATTATTGGAACAAATAAATATGTGGAGAAGATAGATGAATTAAATAAGGAGTGAGTAATCCATGCATTCTACATTTTCTTTTAAATGACCAATGCCCAAGAATTGTGTTTGAGGCGCATTGCTTAAATGGAAAATGCAAACTCACTTGCTTTCTTCTTGTTGCGTTATGTATATTTGTTACTTTGTGAATGGGTTCATAATTTACTAGGCAGATTAAGATGTAAGTGTTTCTTGATTTTTGGATGTTTTGATCATAAGTGCAACTTCCTCTTTGAAATTCAGGCTTGAAACCCTCAATGAGAAGCGATCTGGAGTTGTACAAATGGTGAAATTAGCAGAGAAAGAAAGAGACAATTTAGAGGTTTGTTGACGTTTTCTCTTCTTGTATGTGACCCGGTTTTGGTTGTACTTGTTGTTAACATGTTTTGGAAACAGGGTGTGAAGGATGAGGCGGAGACTTACATGCTGAAAGAGCTATCACATCTTAAATGGCAAGAAAAGGCTACAAATATGGCATATAAAGATACTACAGCTAAAATTACTGAACAGAAAGAGAACTTACAGAGTTTGGAAAATAGTTTAAAGGATGACCGGTAAGCGCATGCAACTTTTTTATACAATAGCATAGAAATTTTGTGAAGTCATTCATAACAAATATCGTAACATTGCTCTTTCAGAGAGAAAATGGATGAGAGTAATAAGGAGTTGAAGGAACTAGACTCTGTGCATGAAAAACATAAGAAGAGACAAGAGGTTTGTCTGAGATCCAGATGTGTTCTGCTCTCATGCTTATGGCTCACATGTCGAAAATCATTTTTTTTCTCTCCCAAGTTTCTACAAATAACGAATTTGTCTTCCTTTCCAATGTTAGGTTCTTGATAATGAACTTAAAGACTGTAAAGAGAAGTTCAAAGARTTTGAAAGGCAGGACGTAAAGCATAGGGAGGACTTGAAGCATGTGAAACAAAAAATCAAGAAACTCGAGGATAAACTTGAAAAGGTTTGTGGTTATAGAAAAATGGTTAAACTTGTTAATGTGTGCATGTATCTTACCTGTGTTTTATGCAGGATTCATCCAAAATCAGTGACTTGACAAAGGAGAGTGAAGACTCGAGAATTCTAATACCTAAACTCCAGGAAAATATACCAAAGCTTCASAAGGTCTTGCTAGATGAGGAGAAGGCATTAGAGGAAATCAAAGAAAAAGCTAAAGGTGTGTTATGCTTTAGGATCTTATGCCCCCAATAATGATGACCTTGTTATCTAATTCCTGGCAGTTTCTTCCGCTACAATGCAGTTAAAAGGACTTTAGAATTGGCAACTTATTAAACATGCTAGTACCCATCTATTATCATTACCTTTTTGCTCAAGAGTAAGCTTGTTCAGTTGATTATTGCTATYAATTTTTCTACAGGTGAAACTGAAGGTTACCGGTCTGAGCTTACAAAAATCCGTGCTGAATTAGAACCTTGGGAAAAAGATCTAATTGTGCACWGGGGAAAACTTGAYGTTGCATCATCCGAAAGCGAACTCTTGAGCAACAAGGTACATCCCTAGAGTAATGACAATTTGCTTGTGAGTTAATAACTTTTACTCCTCAAGATAAGTTGCTCATCTTCTAGGAAGGTTTTAATTAGTACACTCCAGCTGCTTTG